ATATATATCACATGTCTCTGTTGTTACCCTCTGTAATAACAGTCATGTATACCCTGCTCAGGAGGTTTATATATCACATGTTTCTGTTGTAACATTCTGTATTAACATGCATGTATACCCTGTTCAGGAGGTTCATATATCACATAGATTGTTGTTACCCTCTGTAGTAACAGTTATGTATACCCTGTTCAGTAGGTTCATATATATCACATGTCTCGGTTGTAACATTCTGTAGTAACATTCATGTATACCCTGTTCAGGAGGTTCATATATATCACATGTCTCTGTTGTTACCCTCTGTAATTACAGTCATGTATACCCTGCTCAGGAGGTTTATATATCACATGTTTCTGTTGTTGCCCTCTGTAGTAACATTCATGTATACCCTGTTCAGGAGGGTTATATATCACATGTCTCTGTTGTTACCCTCTGTAGTAACATTCATGTATACTCTGTTCAGGAGGTTTATATATCACATGTCTCTGTTGTTACCCTCTGTAATTACAGTCATGTATACCCTGCTCAGGAGGTTTATATATCACATGTTTCTGTTGTAACATTCTGTATTAACAGTCATGTATACCCTGTTCAAGAGGTTTATATATCACATGTCTCTGTTGTTACCCTCTGTAATAACAGCCATGTATACCCTGCTCAGGAGGTTTATATATCACATGTTTCTGTTGTTACATTCTGTAGTAACATTCATGTATACCCTGTTCAGGAGGTTTATATATCACATGTCTCTGTTGTTACTCTCTGTAGTAACAGTCATGTATACCCTGTTCAGGAGGTTTATATATCACATGTCTCTGTTGTTACCCTCTGTAATAACAGTCATGTATACCCTGTTCAGGAGGTTTAAATATCACATAGATTGTTGTTACCCTCTGTAGTAACAGTCATGTATACCCTGTTCAGGAGGTTTAAATATCACATAGATTGTTGTTACCCTCTGTAGTAACAGCCATGTATACCCTGTTCAGGAGGTTTATATATCACATGTTTGTGTTGTTACCCTCTGTAGTAACAGCCATGTATACCCTGTTCAGGAGGTTTATATATCACATGTTTGTGTTGTTACATTCTGTAGTAACAGTCATGTATACCCTGTTCAGGAGGTTTAAATATCACATAGATTGTTGTTACCCTCTGTAGTAACAGCCATGTATACCCTGTTCAGGAGGTTTATATATCACATGTTTGTGTTGTTACCCTCTGTAGTAACAGCCATGTATACCCTGTTCAGGAGGTTTATATATCACATGTTTGTGTTGTTACATTCTGTAGTAACAGTCATGTATACCCTGTTCAGGAGGTTTATATATCACATGTTTGTGTTGTTACCCTCTGTTGTAACAGCCATGTATACCCTGTTCAGGGGGTTTATATATCACCTGTTTCTGTTGATACCCTCTGTGGTAACATTCATATATACCCTTTATATATCCACTGTTTCTGTTGTAACCCTCTTTAGTAACAGTCATGTATACCCCCTTTATATATCACCTGTTTCTGTTGATACCCTCTGTGGTAACATTCATGTATACCCTTTATATATTCCCTGTTTCTGTTGTAACCCTCTTTAGTAACAGTCATGTTTACCCTGCTCAGGAGGTTTATATATCACCTGCTTCTGTTGTATTCCTCTTTAGTAACAGTCATGTATACCCCCTTTATATATCACCTGTTTCTGTTGATACCCTCTGTGGTAACATTCATGTATACCCTTTATATATCCCCTGTTGCTGTTGTCACCCTCCTTAGTAACAATCATGTATGCCTTGTTCAGGAGGTTTATATATCACATGTTTCTGTTCTTACATTCTGTAATAACAGTCATGTATACCCTGTTCAGGAGGTTTATATATCACATGTCTCTGTTGTTACCCTCTGTAATAACAGTCATGTATACCCTGTTCAGGAGGTTTATATATCACATGTTTCTGTTGTTACCCTCTGTAAAAACATTTAACTGTTTCGTATTTAGGAGATTTTTATATATCACATGCTTCCTTGTGAAAAAAGTGATGTTTGAAAAGTACAAGAGTAAGACCAGCTGTTCTGCTCCATCGACGACCTCCGCCATGTAAATCTAGGCCAACTCCAAGGAAGCACACGTCTTAACATCGTATGGAGCACAATCGGTTTGTAAGACACGGATGGAATAATTGAATTGAATGATGAATGGATCTCCACTAGTTCGAGAGCACCAATTATATAAAGGCTAATCCCAAGACCCCAAACCTAGCAGAACTTCCAACGTATTAGTTTTAAATATATCATATGAACCTACACACTATAGGGGTTTAATTTATTGATGTAAAAAGCACTTGTAAAAAGAAGACATTCAAACCAAGCAGGAAGTACATGTGCGCTTAATTATAAACAACTATTTTAACATATCGATAGAATTTCGTCTGTAACAGTTAATAATGAAGCAGTAAAACCTTGATACTGACCTTTATAAGAGGATGACCACATTCAACGATTTAGGATAACTTGTAACAACCATTGTTTGTGAGGCTGTCACTGCCCTTGTATACATGGTATGGGTAAACCAGATCTATAAATATCTATGTGGTTGCCGGTTTTAACAATTGTCAGACTTGCCCGGACTTTTGCAAAATTCTTTCCGCTCGTTGCACACGGCTTAAACTGACATGTTACCCTATCCACTATGTGACTTTCACCGTGACTAACAGCTTGCCTTGCCAATTAACGCTTTAACATATATATACGTTTACAATACACAAGTTACGTCATATCATCTGTACTACCAGTCACTATCAATTGTATTTAGGATACAAAAATAATTAATTGAAATTTACATGCATCACTACTCCAGCTCTGGATTTGAGAACGTGTCACGGCTTGGATTTGATCAAAATTTGTTGTGGAAGGCGATGTTGTTCCTGTCTGGATTAACACCATCCCCCCAGTATTGTCCAGGGGTCTCTATTTAACTTCTCTTTTTTTATATTCACCCCAGTCGTATTGATTATGAGCTCCATTTAAAAAGGGTACTCTTTAAATGAGAGGATGGTTTATTGCTGGACACATATAAACACACATACCTTATCATTTTATTATTTCAGTAATTTTCATACACCCGTTTTGTTGTCCTGGTTTTTTTTCATGCCGTCACGAAGACCTCTTACTTTTCTTTTTTAAGGTTAAAAAATATAATTTCATCACACATTTTTATTCTACCGATAATATGTCATCACATATTTTTATTGTACCGGAAAATGTCGTCAAGCGTCATACTGGTTTTTTTTAAAGATATATATTTTTGTTTTACATATAAATTTGAAATATATCTCATGTCAAAGGCACAAATAATGTTATATTATTAATATTGAAGGTTGTAGCAATGACAGTGAAATACAAACGACCTATGTAGAGGCGGCAAACTTATTTAAAGGATGAGTATAATATTCAAAAGGAAGATTGACGACGCGGATCTATTAGTGGAGACAATGGCTTCCTTTGATTGGTTGCAGCTTTAATATCACGGAAAGGCTGTCAAAGAAAAGCTATATTTAATACTGATGTGTTGTTTTAAAACTGGTTTGGTTTATTTCATCTGATTTATCAGCCTAATAGTGTATCTGATGTCACAATCGCACATTGGTAGAAGAATGTTGTATATGTACATTGTTTGATCACTTATTTGTATGAATCTCGGTTTTTGAATGTTCCCGCTTCGAGGTAAGTATGCGTTTGCGAGAGCGTCCGAGAGTGGTCAAAGTACTACACGGGAGCCAATCTGACCAAGATGGACGTGTTTGTCATCTTGTCATAAAAACCACCCGGAATTCAGACGCATATACACCTGAGATGTGATAAGTCATTATTATAGTTATTAGGTTGCTAATTGTATGCAATGTCTGTTGCATCAGTTACTGGTGAATGACCGTAATAAGCTATTTCATTTCAGTAATAATTACCATAACTTTAGTATGCATATACAATACCTACACCCATCTTTGTAGCCCAAAAACAAAAGATTCAAATATCCGTACCTTCCTACCGTGACGTAACCCATATCTCGACGACAGAGCCACGGAGTGATCTCCCTTCCTCTTCCTTTTATGGCGCCTGCTGCCTGCTGACGCCCGGAGCTAAAGTTTTGTCGGTTTGGTTCGAGTGTCAACTCAATTTTTTGCGCAGTTTGTGTGCCTTATACCCATCTGCCCTTGTTAATATAATTAATTATTGTTGAAAATATTTTTGTGCCTCTTACGGCCGGTTATTTTCCTCCACGTTTGCCGGTGGTGTACCACGGTCCGCCATTATCGTGGGTTAATTTCCGACCTCTGTTTATTTCGGTGACGGTTGTTTGTTTCGGCAAACGTTATTTATTTTAACCGTTTTCTGATTTATATTACGGGTGAAATTCTTTCTACGTTGCGTACTTTGTACTATCGTATTTTATCATTTTTTCCCGTGGTATCTGCTTGTAAATTTTTGTTTACTTTCACTTTGGAGGGTATGTCTCGGTCGGGACAGCGACGAGGTAGAGCTCATGGGTGTTCCCATTTCTTTGTGGAACGGGACCCTCATGATGCTTGTCCTAGGTGTTGTCCTTGCAGTGAGGTTTCGCCTTGTGAACTTTGTTCACAGACTAAATCTCAGGACAAGGACTTCATTGTTCCAAAGCTACCCTCAACTTACCGTAAGAGAGATTCGTCTGTTTCTTCCGGTAAGCGAGGGAAGCAGAGAGGTAGGGGTCGTGCCACCAGCTCTCTGGGGTCTGGTGGTACTGTCTCTGTTCCTGTCTCGGGGGGTCTCACTTCGGCGAGTCTCTCTCGTGAGCAGGGGGTGGCCCTTCCTGTCCAGGAACTCCCTGGAGGAGGGGAGGGGCAGCCCGACCCTGGCTTGGTACAGCCAAGGGTCGAATTGGCCGGGAACGCCCGTAAGCTTTCGCGCTTGCCTTCGGGTAGGGACTACCGGCCGCCGGTCACTGACTCTGTCAGTGATCCCGGCATTCCAGGTGGTGCTGTCGTTGGGGACAGTCTTGGTGCCGGGCCTGTTCTTTTGGGTTCAGGTCCTGGTGTGACTACAGACTTTCTATCCGGATTGTCTGTGTCTACCGGGATTAATGACGCACAGCTCACTAATCCCGGCACCAATGCTGGTCAGGCGTAACCTCCCGGTCAGTTACCCGGACCAGGTCCTGAGTTTCATTCTTCCGGGAACCTGGGGAGTTTCCCCCCGGGTGTTGGGTTTGCTGGACAGGGGGCCGGTTTCCGGCCTCCGTTTTCCCCTGGCTTACGGTATACGGGTGCTTGCGGGCAACCATCCTTGGGCCGCCCTTACCAGCCTGCGGATAGTTTTGGGTTGCGGCAGCATCCCGGCAGTTACGGGCTTAGCCCGTACATGTCCGGGTTTCCACCTGGAGGGAGTGGCGGTCCACCTTCGCTCTTTGGGCAAGTTGGCCAGCCCCAGTCTCAGGCAGGCCAGTTTGGCCAGTTCTGGGGTCACTCCCAGCCCGCGGGACCTTTCCCTTATCCTCCGGGATATGGGCTTAACCCCATGGCTTTTCCGTCGTGGAATCCTTGGGGTTTGGTCTCTCCCTCGCGGAGACGTGATATCAGTTCTGTTGACCCCTCTCTGCGTCTCTCCATCCAGATTCTGTCTGATATAGACTACCTGACGGTTTGTCTATATAGGGTATCCGACTTGCCTGAGGGTCGGATTACCGAGACAGAGCAGGCCGACATCCAGGACAGAGTGACCTCTGCCCTGAACGGGGCATTGATAGTGCTGGCAGCTTTACAGGTGTCATCGCTCGTCAATGTCTTGTTGGCTAGGCGGTTTTCAGTTTTGAAAAAAAACGCCCGGTCGATGAGCCTTACCGCTCCAGATTGTTGACTGCCCCCTTCTCAGGGTCCACTCTTTTTGGAGGGGCCCTTCCTTCTGTTCAGAAGAATTTGAAGGAGGACTCGGTCGCCTCTGCACTTCTGGTGAAGAGGATTCAGGCTGAGAAGGCCAGTACCTCGCAGGGGTCAGCGCCTCCTAAGAAGAAGGCTAAACCTTCGGCTTCGCAGTCCTCTGCGCAGCCCAAGTATAAGCCTCCCTTCAAGGGCAACAAATGGAAGGGTAAGAAGGGTAAGAACCCTCCTGGGGGTAAGAAGAAGGGTTCCTGACTCTTTTCTTCCCTCCTTGGTCGTGTCAGACGACGAGTTTGGCCGGGAGGAATGCAGTCCTCTCGGCTCAAGCTTAGGTCCTTCTCCCGCAGGATTAGGCTTCGGGTCAGCAGACGATTCTCTTGCCTGGCAAGGTCTCGATCTGCCTCGACCAGATCTTCCTGTGGGGGGTCGTCTTTCTGCTTTCCTTCCAGAGTGGAAGGAAATTACGGAAGACGCATGGACCTTGTCTGTGATCAAGGAGGGGTTAGGCATTCCGCTAGTGCGGGATCCGCCCTTAGCGTCAGAGCCAATCTTTTTTCCTCCACCGGGGGATCCGGAAAAGGCTCTGGCGCTCCAGGAGGAAGTAAGGACCATGCTTTCCAAGGGCGCGGTCGAGGAGGTTCCTATGTCGGGATGCACTCCCGGGTTCTACTCCAGAATGTTTCTGGTTCGGAAGAAGTCCGGGGCGTGGCGTCCCATCATAGATCTAAGTGCCTTCAACAAGCACGTAGATTCTCCTCACTTCAAGATGGAGACTCCTCGGGGTATTATCGCCTCCGTGAGAGAGGGAATGTGGGCGACTTCAGTAGATCTAAAGGACGCCTACTTCCACATCCCCATCAAGAAGTCGGCACGGAAGTACCTCCGTTTTACTTGCAACGGAAAGGTCTTCCAGTTCCGGGCCATGCCGTTCGGGCTCAAGACTGCACCTTTGGTTTTCACCAAGCTGATGCAGGTGGTCGTGGGATTCCTGCACTCTCGAGGAATAGATGTTCACATCTATTTCGACGACTCCCTCATGCTCCACCTAGTGAGAGAGTCTCTGGTGCAGGTCACCCGGTTGGTTCTGAAACTCTTACTCAAGGTCGGCTTCATTCCTTCCAGAGAAAAGTCGGAGGTTTCCCCATCTCAGGATTTTGTTTTTCTGGGTAACCGTTTCAGTACGGTTCAGGGCATCGCCCTTCCACCGATGGAGAAGTTCGAGAAGGCCAGGGCTTTTGCTCTGACCTTCATCGGCCGGTCTCAAGAACAGGTACGTTGGCTTCTCAGTTTTCTGGGATATCTCAACGCCCTGGCCGATGTGGTCCCCTTAGGGAGACTTCACATCAGGCCTCTCCAGATGTTTCTCCTTGCCAACTGGGTCCCTTCTTCAAGGGATTGGGAAGCCTTGCTTCCTCTGAACCAGTCGGTCAAGGAGTACGCACGCTGGTGGACTCATCAGGACAATGTTCTCCGAGGGGTTCCTTTGTCCAAGCCAGTTCCCACTATGACCCTGTACACGGATGCATCCATGACAGGGTGGGGAGCTTATCTCGACGGGCGTTGCCAGTCGGGGGAGTGGTCTGGGGAACAGCTCTCGGAGCACAGCAATGTGCTCGAGATGAGGGCTGTTCTGTTGGCTCTGCAGTCTTTTCGGGAGATCCTGCATTCCAAGGTGGTTTGTGTGGCTACGGACAACACTACGGTTGTCGCGTATCTGGAGAGACAGGGGGGAAC